ATTTATGATTTTGTTAATTATGGTTCTTCAGACCATTAACTCTTCAACCTTTTCCTAAACTTGGAATTTTGGATCATGATTTTTGAATTTTACTTCTGTTTTGCAGCCTTTTTAATTCCTATAACCCAAACTTGTTGATGTCAACTGCATATTATCGAACTGATCTTTATGGCCGACTGTTGGAGGAGGTATATGAAGTTAAGATCCCTGATTTGTTAAATTTATTTTTGTTGAAAATTGTGTTCCCCTCACCTGGTGCATTAAATGTTGTGGGGAGGGGGAGGGGGCAATATTAAATGTTTCATTTTTCTACATAAAACTAGTTAGTACGCATCAGAAAAGTTTCTCATCTCAAATCAAGAGATGGTATGGGCAACTATGAGTGCTCACACTAACAGACACAAAAAGTGAAAAATAATAATTTGTTTCGTTTAATTACAACAAATCCATGTACTTGCCATCATCACATTTCATTTCCATCACTTACTGCTTACATTGCTTTTATTTGCTGAAGTTACTGATGCCACCATGTAAATGGCTTTTCCCTATATGTTATGTAATATGCTGTATACTAGCCCAAAATAAACCCGCTTGGGCAATAACATGGGGCCTGACTTTTGGTATTACAAAGATTACCAAACCTCCACAATGGATCTTATGGTTTGTAGTACATTTTTCTGATGCAAAGAATCCTCAGAGAGGCAACTGTAGAGCATACTTTTGATACTACTAAGATCTTGCTCTTACTATTCTTCATGATGTTATCACAGTCGTTAAGACTTTGGAAGAACGAAGGAAAGAGTTTGGAAACTCATAGGGATATGAAACAAACTATTTATTTCATAGGGAGCTGGACTCGAGATGCTCCACAATGGAGGAGGAAAGCCCCTTATATAGAGGAGGGGATCCTTCATGTACAATAATACAACTAACACACTATTATAATAATATTACAAGTGGACAATTGACTTATTACTACTTTATCAAAGTAGGATAAGATATCTGACACAAAAATAATAATTACACTATTTTTAGTAAAGCATGATAAGACAACTACAATAATTTTACAACATGACAAACATCTTTTTTTAAAAAACAAGAAATCTGCTTTTTTTAAAGTTATTTATTACAAACGACAAAAACTTTAGATGAAATTTTTCATATGTGCTGGGTCATCAAGGCGTTCCAAGGTTTGCTTCCCGTCCAGGTACATCTGAATTGTCTGATACTAAAACTTGGCATTGGTGGAAACAACATGGACTCCCCTCTTATTTAGACGATTCAGATATACATGGACGGGAAGCAAACCATGGAACGCCTTGATGACTCAGCACGTAGGAAAAAATCATCTAAAATTTTTGTCGTTTGTAATAAATAACTTTTAAAATAGCAGATTCCTTGCTTTTTAAAAAAAAAAGACGTTTGTCATGTTGTAAAATTATTGTAGTTACCAAAAGTAGTGATAAGACTCGTCGTCTTGTATAATTATTGCTTTTGTGTCAGATATGTTATCCTACTTTGATAAAGTAGTGATAAGTCAGTTGTCCACTTGTAATATTATTATACTAGTGTGTCAGTTGTATTATTGTACATGAAGGATCCCCTCCTCGCTTTCCTCCTCCATTGTGGAGTATCTGGAGCCCAACTCTTTATGAAATAAATAGTTTGTTTCCTATCCTTATGAGTTCTAAAATGTTTCCTTCGTTCATCCATAGTCTTGACGACTGTGATGACATCATGAAGAATAGTTAGAGCAAGATCCGAGTAGTAGCAAAAGTATGCTTTGCAGTTGTCTCTCTGAGGATCCTTTGCATCAGAAAAAGGTACTACAGACCATAAGATCTGTTATGGAGGTTTGATAATCTTTGTAATACCAAAAGTCAGGCCCTGTGTTGTTGCAAAAGAAGGTTTATTTTGGGCTAGAATACCACGTATTACGTAAGTTGTCACACCCCCACTTTCTGTAGCTTCTCTCTTTTACTACTCAAATTTAATGCATGAAGTGTACAAGTTGGTGATTGTGATTAGTAGCCATTTGATAACTGAAATCTAACTTTCTAATTTGCCTCGGCTGCTCTCATTAGGTTCCTGTGACCAACTTCTTTGGTTCAGTCATGGAAACAATCTACACTGATTCAGCTTACCCAGCCTTCTCAGGCAAATACTCTAAATCTAAAACTGAAATTCCCCTGGATCAGTCAGATGAGGTGGAACAGAGAAGACGAAAAAGTTCAGATGTTTCACAAGAATTGATCGACTCTAACATAACTGTAAGTGCTCCATATTCTTGCCATTAGATGATGTGTACTCAAAGCCCCTTTTTGTCACTTGACTACTCAGTTCTTTGCATGTGAAACTGACGAGGGAAAGAATGCATGCTACAGGGTAAACATGCTACTTGTCCTGTTACACGCACATGGAATGCCATTCTTGGTAGGATTGAAATGATGAAAGAATTAGATAGCTTGGTGAACTATGGCTTGATATTGATGTTTCTAATCGCGACTGGTTCTTCTTGGTTTTCAAGCTGAAGGTAAGAAGGAACGTCTTTTAATGGACTTTCAGGAACTTTTTGCTGTAGCTTTAACTTTATTTATATTTCCTGGTGAAGTCAAGTCCATGCTGATCTTGCTTTCTCAATGTTTTCCTGATTATCTTTGGTATGGTTTTACCGTCGTTCCACAAATCAATGAAGAAATCCTCCCCCTCGCCCCCCACTCAAGTGTCTTCTTGAGACTTAAAATATAATTTTTGATCTCTGCTAATGTACGTTGTACAATAGTAGTACATTAATTATGTGCAAACGATGCTGCCTGCAAAATATAATAACCTTTTCTTCAGAGTCTCTTGAAGTGGATGATACCATTTAAAATTATTCTTTCAGGGCTTCTCTATTTTGTTGCTGCAATAGATAGTCAGATATTGGCACTTGATCTGGTACACTGAAATTAATCTTCTGTAAATTTTATGTGTTATGCTGTTATTTCAGGCAATCTTTTACTTCATTCTTTGCCGGATAGAAATATTAAATCTCACAAAAGTAATTCAAGAAACTTACTGAAGCCCCAGAAGAGAAGATGTGATCTCTGTGCAAATCAGAGATTTTGTTTTAGATCAATCTTGGAAGTGGCGCTTCATCTTGAGCTAATCAAGTTATGCTGTGTTGGAAATTGCCTGAATTGGAGGTTGCCATCTGAAATGGACCTGCTTTTTATTGTGATATTTTTCCTTGGCTTTTTAAAAACTCAGTATAAACTTACATATTATGAATGTATTTTATACGTTTATCATTCAAGCCGTAAAAACAATCAATGAAGCTGAAGAAATCCCAAAAACGGAAGCCTAACCACAAAAACGAATCTTGCCACAGATGAAAATAACAAATCAACGGCTCCTTCAATTACATTTTTCGGAAAACTGTGTATTTTATTCTCAAAATTTGCAAATAATCAAGTAGTATCTGCTAGTAATTTCCGAATTTTAATTCAAATAATTCAGATTTTGTGTGCTTATTCAATAATAGATTATAAAAATAATTATTCAGTAGCAAATATAAGATAATCTCTCTCTCTCTCTCACGCACGCACACACGAACATGCACACGCATTTGAATTGCTGCAATATTTTGTAACGGAATTTGTTAAAGGTATTTGTGAAAGTATAAGTATGAATAGGATTTAAACTTTGTTTTATATTAAAAAGTGACATTATTTAATATTTTATTTGTTTTGCATACAAACTAAGGTACATACTATGCCACTTTTTGTTTTTCTTAAAGAAAGTCACCGTCTTGTAAATATGATGAAGGATTACTCCCTACTTGTTTGAGTTGAATATGAATTAAGGTTGCCAATTTGAAAGTCACATATTGTGCCACTTTTTTAATTAAAATTTCGCACAATGCTTAATATGATTGTTTCATTGTGTATAGATATCATACCGGTCGCAGAATTAAATATTTTGAAGGCAAGCAGCTTTTGAAGGTTGTTACTTTTGAAAAAAAATAATAATAATAATAAAGTACATGAAGAAGAAGCCACAAGAGAAAAGAAAGTTGGAAGATTTATGAAACTCGAGTATTTTAAGTTTTTTTATTTTGAATTGTCTTTTAATTTTTTTACTACTATAGCATAGAATTCACATTGGAGACTTCTACATGTCATTTTTGTCAGGCTAGTCCAAACCTGTAAGATAGGCCGGTCTGGTCATCGCTAAGGGTTGGCCAGGATAGCCCAATGAATAAATCTAAACGAACAAGGCCACATGTTCGTGACAGGGGGCCAGCTGGCCCCCTGTGATATACGATTCTATCATCTATGAAATCTTAATCCCAAATCCTATGTCGTATGCAGAAAAAACATAGGCATGCACGGCACAGCTGTATGCAAAAAGAAAAAACCTGTTTATGTCTTAATTGTTACCCACATTTTGTCTGCACGCAAACAATCAACACAGGTTGGCAATGGCATCCTCCAACCCCAACGTGTATGTATCATATATTTGTATGTATATGCCGCCAATGGAGTCATAAATTAATAGACCAGAAGATCGCTCCATTTTAAAAAAAAAAATTTCACAGCTTATAATGTTCACGTCTGCTGTGTGCATGGAAGGTTCGTTCAGACAAAATTGGTCCCATAGATGTTGCCAATTAAAACAAGTCCGTACAAGAAAGGAAACTTCGTACCATTTTCTTAGAGATCTGAGATTGAATTCATTGCAGATATAGTTGTCTTATGTTTACATATATATTGATAATCAAGAGGTTTAGCTTACATTATCTTGTGCCCATATCAACCCTCAGCAAGAACAGAACACCAAATTGATCCACTTTTTTATTGGCATTCTATACCTTTGTTTCTTGTTAGAGAGCTCGAAAACTTGACCTAGTACTTCTTTGTCGTGAATATCTTGTCAATTTTTCCATAACCCTCATCGTCAAAAACTTTCCTCTCCTCGTATATATAGAATTCATTCTTTCTTGATCGTGAATAAAGAAAATGTCGCGCCCTAATTTTGATGCTCTCAAAAACATGCACGACTCTGTTAATGACTTGCTTCACTCATCAATGACTAAACAAAAAATCGCTCATCATGGAGAAGAAAAATGGGTTCATGAGCTTTCAGAAGCATCCCTAAAGTTGGTGGATGCCTGTGGTGCCACCAAAGATATTCTCCTACTGGTAAAAGATCATCTCCAAGAACTTCAATCCACGTTTCGCCGAATCAGTGTCAATGAAACCACGGTTGTCGGAAACCAGTTCGCCGCCTATCATCACCACCGGAAAACACTAAAGAAAGCCATTTTAAAGCGTTTGAAATCACTGAAAGGGATGAAAAATAAAAAGATCGCTGCCCCGGTCGGGGCTGCAGCCGAACACTGCAGCCTTGTGGTTGTTGTAAATGTGCTTAAAGAAGTGAAAGCCACCACCATGTCCATTGTTGAGTCTCTAAATCCACTCATATCCATGCCTAAACCAAACAGAAAATCCAATAAAGAGGCTTTTAAGTTTAAATTAACTCGGGTTAACAGCCTGAGTTTGTGGGAAAAATGTGACATTCCTGCCATTCAAACTGCAATTAAAAGATTGGAGGCTGTGGAAATTATTATTGAAAATCTTGAAGCTGACTTAGAGTGCATGTTCAAGAGGTTGATTCGGACAAGAGCATCACTTCTTAACATACTTACCTACTAGGAATAATTTATGTTTTGCCCAGCTGGCTTTTTTCATTACAGCACAGTTTAAGATCATATCATCATAATTTATAGGATTTAACTTTAGGTTTAATGTCAGCCAACTGATTTTCAATCATGTTCTATTCTTTGATTTTATTTTTGTTCTCAATAAAATAGGGAAATAAAGATGATTGATATTTAATATTTTATTTTTTATTTTGTGTTGTTCCTTAATTTTTAGTCGTTCATGCATGGATCTTGAAAGTCCTTTTGAAATGGTGAAAAGTGACTTGGGGTGCATTGGCATGCCTTTTGAAAAGTTAAAAAGAATTATTGGATCCTCTGACTAATTTTATGAAAATACTTTCTTTAATTAGAAGAGTTTATAGAGGAAACTGGTCAAATGTAACTTATTTTAAAAGTACTTTTGAAATAGAAAACTTTTTTAAAAATTAGTTTCCAAACAAAAATTAAAATAACTTTTTTCAAAAACTTTTCTACGTAAAGCAAAAGTCATGTCAAAAGCGTCCTTAGTATTTACCACATCGATATTGAACTAGTACAATCCGATCGCCTACCCTAACAACGTGATGCCCCAAATTAAAGAATGCTCAAATAGTCATTATCTATCTTCATATTCAAATGTCTCTCACCTCACGTGGGAATTTTCCAAGTTAAATCCTTGTTTTTATCTGTATATCCAACCCAATAGTGTATCAAAGCGAGCACTCAAGCAACCGGATCATGTTTATAAAGCTTAGTTTTTTCTTGGTTGTTATACACTTCATTTTTTCAATGACGTAACTCGTTATTTTCCATCGTATCTAGGAGCATGCAAGCAAATGCATAACAAGTGTCATTATAGTAATTTACGCTCGCTTAGATATAACAAAAGGGTAAATATATTACAACCACAAAATTTACTTACTACACCACATTATAATCACACCACAATTAAAATATATTTTCAATAAATACACCACAACAAATTACAATTATACTCATAATCCAATAAAAACAAAAAAAAAAACAACAATAAAAAAAAAATAAAAAAAAAAAAAAAAAAAAAAAATAAAAATAAAAAAAAAAAAAAAAAAAAAAAAAAAAAAAAATTAAAAAATTAAAAAATATATATATATAATTGTGGTGTATGCATCAATCCCAATATTACAATTCATTTTTCTCATCCTTTCCGCCCATTCTTGATCTTTTTGCCGTATTATTCCTCACAAGGCTTTAGCTGAAATCTTTGAAAGTTTGCAGTAATGGGGAGTATTTGCATATTTAACTTCAGTTTCGCTAGGTTAAGTTTTTTATGTTTTTATAGTGTCAATGTTTCATGTTGGTATGTTGGGTTGCATTGATACTATGCCTTAATTTAGTTTGTGGTATAACATTGAAACATATGCTTTATAGGTTACAATTGCTTAAGTGATTCTTACACTTAAACTGTTTGAACTATGATTGTCATTGATCCTGTTTTCCACACATTTACACTGATTTTTGAGTTGTCTATTTCAGGAAACATGTATTGCAGTGTTCGTTCAAGACAGTTGTTAGTTGTAGGTTGTGTTATTGTTTTGAGTATGTAACTTTTATTTGAGTACTGCCTTGACATAGATTATTGTTTTCTCACAAAATGCCAAATAGGGAGTTTGTTAGGTTTTAGCTGATTTTTTAATTGGCAAATTCTGTAGACAAAAGGACTTCATTTGATAGGATGTCAAAGTTCAAGGAGTAATGTGCAATTCGTTCAAAAGTTAGTAGGTCTAGGGTTTCGAGTTTAGAATAAGGAGGAAAACAATGCGAATTTTCGTTGGACTGTCACCAAAGGTTGGCTCGAGCTACAAAAGCAGAAATATCGTCGCTAGACTGTCGCTCCTACTTCGCTCGAGCGACAGGCTATTGCTCGACTGTCGCTGGGCCCTCGCTCGAGTGACAGTGTTGTCCGAAAAATTTTTATTTCGTGATTTCAAGACTTTTTACCCGACTCATTCGTTTCTTGACCTACCCATAAATATTATAACTCACCTGCACATTTTTTTATGAGGTTGAACATAGAGAGAAAGAGGCTACAGAGTGATTCCTTTATTTTTTTATTCTTTCAACATTCATCATTGAGACTATTAGTGAGAAAAACATCAGTTCATTAATCCAAATACCATATCACTACTTTCTCTACATCTGGTTAGAGTTCTGAAAATCGAAGGAAGTTGACAAGAGTTCCTGTCTGTGAAGAACGGGTCGTTCTTCGATGATCAACGGGAGATAAACGAATTCACAAGGCTAGGAGTACTGCAGGGTAGCAGATTCCAGGGAGAGCATTGACAATAGCAGCTAAGGATTGATGCAGGGGAGCACTGGATCCACAGATAGCTGTAATGAGTGCAATCGGAAGATCAGACAGTACGGGTCGTCTAATCTAATAGATTGTAAGTTGTTAAATTCGTTTATAGTGGATTGACTGGCAAAGTGTCCGAAATTTTTCTCAGTTGGATTTCTCCGTGATCATTCTGGTGTTTGATTTACTGTTTTACTATTCATTGTTTACTATACAATCGCGGTAATTCAACTTATGATAAATTGACTTGAATGTTGAATCATCTAGAAAAGAATTAAAAAGTAACTTGTTGCTGTTTAATTCATTAGTAATTTTAAATTCTGCATATTACACCTATTCACCTCCCTCTAAGTGTTGTTAGAGTCGAACTGCACAACTTTCATTCCTCTCCAACGTTATCTAAGCAAATCCCAGTTCAGATTAAAATCATGCCATCAACCTCACCGGAGAAGAACCTTTTTAATACTGGATCAGCTTCAGAAGCTGATCAAGACATGTTTTCCCAGTTTTCGTAAAGAAAATGAAGGAACCTGAATTTGTCAACATAAAACTTGTGTCGTCTAAGTCTAATGGAAGTGAAATCATGCCTCAGGTTGATGGTACAGGCTTTACAAGTTTGAGGAAAATGAAAAGGCCTATAAAGTGGAAGCATTGGAAAGCAAATGAAAATTGTCTTGCCGTCGTGGAAGAAAGTGAAAGCCACCACCAACGAAAAAGCTATGGACAATCAGATGTTGAGGAAAAAGAAAGAAAAAATTAGGTTTACCTTCGTAAAAACAATAATTTACTTTATTAAAAAGTATATTAAAACTCTAATTATGTAATTTTACTTAAGGCTAATTAAGTAAATAAAAAATACTAAAAATTGTGGTGCAATTAATAAAATTCGTAGTGGTACCCATAACAAAAATTGTTTGTTAATTGTCATATCCGATTCTGTCCATTCTAGCTAGCATAGCATACATATATGAGACACGTCCATCGGCCCATAGCATATACTATATTTGGGAAGAATTGAAACATTGTCACCAAATTACAAGTTTAGTTGACAAATGAGTCTGATTTATTTACCCCCAAAACCAATTTAGGTTTCAATAAATTTTACATTTTCAGCTACTCTAATCATAACAAGTGTCGAACGAAATATGGCAGAGACGCAATTTCTACAAGTCAACAATTGACGTCTCAATCATTGGTCAATTTAGCACTACACGAATATAAATAAATGCACACTAGAGTGCATGCCAGCAAACATCTAGGGACCAGAAAATAGACCGTGGACACAGTGCCTCTGCATTTCACTATCTACTGCAACATCAGAAAGCAATATGCCCAAGTTAGGGATGTCAAATGAGACGATACAGGACAGGCCAGTCAGAAACTTGTCCCAGCACAGTCCATGCACTGGCAAGGGACAGGTCGACTGCTTGTGATTGGAAAAAGTTCCGAGTTTGATGAGTATGAAATTAAGATAACAAGCAATACTACATATCAGCCATTCATAGGGAAAGCAGGCAAAAGCATTTAAATAAAAACATAAAACTATGTATTCCAGAATTGTGCATCACATCATATTCAGTACCCTCTTTTTCACCATCAATTTATTGTACAGAAACCAAACAGATCTTCTGAAATGAAATTCATACCAAAGAGCAGATCAGTGCCTTGTGCTCCTTATTATGCTTCGCTGGAAACCTGAGAGACAACGATCATTCAATGAACCTTGCTACACTTACACACCTTAGTACACAACCCTCTCACATGTGCGTGGGTCCCACAAAGTGGGCCCCATTGTGGACCTCACACACATGAGAGGGTTGTGTACCCAGTGTGTACAAGTAGCATTTTTGATCATCCAATAGATAAAGAAATGTAAATCCAAAAAAAAAAAAAGAATACTGAAATAGCATCACTTGAAGGCAGACATAGCCTCTGTTTGACACACATTCTTTCAAAACTCATTTTCAAACACACGTTTTTCAATAAAATAATATTTTCATCACATCAATAATTTTTCCTTACTTTTTAACCACATATTTCTCATCATATCACTGTTTAAAATACATTATTTTCTCAATAATATCCATCAAACACACTCATAATTTATCCAATAGCCTTTTAATGAAGATCAAATTCATTTACTATGCCTCTGTTTGGTTTAGCTAAAAGTCGATTTTTAGTAAATTTTGATATAAATTGGAGAAATGTGTAGTTAAAATATTGATAAAAGTTGTGGATCTCATGAAATGTGTTGTTAAAATTAATTGTTGGTTTTAACTTAAATTTTTATCAACTCCTTTAGCTAAATCAAATGGGGGCATAACGCTGGCAACAAATAGGTTAGAACTGTCAATAAAAAGCTATGTTATTCCAAATCTTTGGTTACCATGCAGTATCTATTCAAATGGAATAGAAGATTTTTCTCAATTCTCACAATTTGTGAAATTGATACAACTCTTTAACAAAAAATACAATTCTTACAATTAGTAAATGATAACTACAATTTACTAATCCAATTATCATTTACGGGGTTGCCTATATAAGAAGGGCTTTGTATGTATCACATTCACTAGCACAAGGAACATAGGAACTATTTTAAACAGGTCAGAGGTTGACCAAAAAGATGTTACCCAAAGACAAAAGTCAGAATTGGAAGAATTAACAATTTCTGTAATGAT